CAAGAGGCTGCATGCTGACTAATGAGAAAGAGATACACATTTAGCCCAGCCATATTCATACATTCTATATTCATTTTTCTCTAGTGACATTTTAATATATTTTGGTGAAGATATTCCCAAGATAATGAAGATATGTTGAGTGAGCACAGAAAGTGATGAGTCTTTTTTTCCATTATCAAGGACAAATACAGGTGTGTGAAATATGCAGAGCACTGGAAGTATGGAAAGAAAATGAGAGAATCCGAAGTAATGAAAAGAAATTAAAACTCTCCAGTAATTGAAAGAAAGGCCAAACTGAAAACATAAATCTGTAGACTCAGCAAGGATTTACACTGAGTGGACCAATGGCTTTCATGATGTGATTCATTTTGAAAAAATGTCATTTCCATTGCCAAGTAGAGTTCATGGCTTAGTGAAAATTTCATCTTCAGTCTAATCACATGAGCCAAAATTTGGCCTTATATCTTCTGATATGAGAAATGAATTATTTCTAGCTTATTTGTAAGCTCCTAAGCATAATATCAAGGAGAGGCAGTCACAGCTAAGGTGAGATCTTGGTATATTTGCATTAGACCTTATGCTATACACTGAAATTTTCTTGTAACATTACATTAAGTAGCATAAAGATCATTTAATTCAACAGTGCTTTGGACTCTGTCCAAATGACCAAGAAAGACATCAACTCACTTGTAACAGTCTTGATGGTCAGATCAAAGGGTATGTGATAATGAGTTATTTTCACTACACAGAGACTCATAGAACATTAAGGCAGGGAAGAATCTGGACAGGTCATCTAAAGCAGGGCCAAGTCTGAATCAACCCAGATAGATATCACTGGGTTTGGGGGACAGGTTTTAAAGAACAACTATTACTGATCAGTGTTTTTGAAATTGATCATGATGCAGTGAATTGAATTAGAACATTTCCTCTAATACTGCTTAGACAATAACAAAATTAGGGCAAGTAGTTTGCATAGTTTGTGCCCAAGGGTACTGATGATTAAAATTAATCCAGCTATTTTATTGAGAGGATGAAGAATCTAACTGGATGGTGGGTTAGGCAGTAGTAGCTAATACTAATAAAACTCACATAGTGTAGGTTAGCCTGCATTTGCAGGTCTGCTATATATTGGGCTCCATATATTATACACTAAAATTTTATTTCAGTCTGTTTCCAAAAATTCAGGGACTAGGTTATTTAATTCAGTCACTGAGTTGATGTCCAGTTCTTCTGACTGGAGTTAAGTGGATATTTATAGAAGTAGAGGAGCAAAAATGGAAGCCAGAGAGTAAGTGTAAAAGGAGATGCACAGGTCTGCATCATGTCAGTTGTCAAGCTGAGACTTAGATCAGGAGTGGGACTGCTTAGTATCATTCTAGATGACCACAGCTACTTAGATGCTCTTCTGTTGAAAATTGTCTACTTGGTCATCTGGGGGAAAGAACTAAAATTCACCAAGTTGAGTTGGCAGGCTTTTCAAAACTCAGCAGGTGAAGTTATCATACTTAAGAGGAATATGTATTTAAATTTAACAAGATTGTTATAAGTCATGTCACCTCCTGATGAGATCCTCTATACACGTGTCTTTTTGCAAGTTTCTTGATTACTTTTCTAGGTTTATCCAGGCTTTATTTGTTTGTTTGTTTATGGAAAATGACAGATACAAATTGACGTAGGAAGATGCCACTTGTTTTAAGCTATAGCCAGTATTTCCATTTGCTCTAGTCTGTATTCTCCCAAATTGGTCAACTTCCAAAAGTAATCTTAGAGCATGAAAAAAATAAATAATGATCTGAAATACAATACATATTTGAAAAGCTTATTCTTTTATCTTATCAAGTGGTGCAACTTTTGCCAAGATATATAGGATGAGTTTTCTCATATGATATTTAATCAGTATAATATTTTTCTTGTTTGAGATAACATTAATTTAATTATACTGTTTATCGGAATGAAATATACAGAATACAGAATACAGGACAAATTATAATTAGGTCTCTGTGAACTTCCAACATAGTTTTCTCTAACAGTCACATATGAAAAGGAAAAAAAAAAGCAACATAAAGGCTTGTTTTCCTGAAACACCATCTGTTATTTTTGTTTGAATTAAGCTCAGTACTCCAAAGGTTATGGATACTATGCAGTAATTAGCACCATTATGGTAAATGTTGTTATGTCTCTGTATTGGACTTCCACAATTATACAACTATGAAACTCCATAATGATCTCTTTTATCAGAGGTATGACTAAATTTCTTACTTGCTCTATGATATGGACAATGCAATATTGCACTGTCATTTTGCTTACTCTGAAATGCAAATAAAATAGATCTTTTTGCATATTTCCCAGGTAATTGTTGTATTCTTCATACCACTTATACAGAGACTTTGAAGAAAGTGGTCATAAAATTGTTGTCAAATATCTATAAATTCTATTGATTTCTCTACCTGAGGGAAATTAGTTTTTTCTTAATTATAAGACAATGAGATTCCCTTCCCCAAAGGGAGGCCAACAAATTTCCAGTACTTTTATATACCGTATGAATATCAATAAATTCTTTGTACATCATTTTTCCCCCTGTAAAGCAAGACTAAAATACTCTTTTGGAACAGTTGTGCAGAAATATTTAATTGCATGGCATGTGGTTACAGATATTTTATATAGAGGCTATATCTGTCTTTTAACTTACAATTAAGATGACAGATTTAGGATTCATGTTTCTCAAGCATCGCTCTTGTGATATTAAAAAAAAAAATTACACTTGAAACAAACCAAAAAAGAAAACTAAATGGTGTTTATACAAAGCTATTCAAACTAGGGCTCTCACCCGGGCTATAAATTCCAGTAGAGAGTCTTTGAAAATTCGCAAGACTCTAAAGAGTACAGCTGTGGTCTGGCCATGAACTTCTTCAGAGTCAGTGCTGTGTCATTGGGTGCTTTGGTCAGTGTCAGGGATTGCCACCTCGTTAATTCATCTAATGGTAATAATGATAACAACATTAAGTGCACATTCAGTATGTACTGTGTGTTTTGCATAAATAAACTCACTCAATTATGACAGCAAACTCCTTATGATAAGTGCCATTATTATTTCCATTTCACAGGGGAGGAAATTGAAGTAAGATAGTCTGTAGTCCTGGGGAAGGAGGTGGCAAATTTAAACCTAGGCAATCTGGCCTCAGGGTAAGGCTGTGCTCCTAACTCCCCAAGAAGGCAGTCAGCAGCTGAGCCTTGCAAACTTCATAAAGGAAGGCCAGAGCATAAGCGAGGGCTCAGACTCTATAAAACTAGCAAGCCTTTAAATAGTACTTGTATTATAGCAAGCATCTTGTATATATCAACTCATTTAATCTAAGAAATAGGAACTCTTTTTATCTTTATTTTACAATTGTGGAAATTGAGACACCAAGAAATTAAATAATTTGCCTACCACTACTGTAGTGATAGAATTGGGCTTTGAACTCAGTCTAACTCTAGAGTTCATGTTCTTTGCCTTTATGAAATATTGTGTAATACTTTGAAAACTTATCAACTTAACTGATTTACAGGCAGACTCAGGTTATGGTAGCCAAGTTTAGGAGAAGGAGGAGAAAACATGAAATGTCTTTTAAAAGTTAAAATTCAGTAAAAAGGAGAGAAATATATCCCATACTTATCAAGAACAGTAATAAATGGTCACTCTACAATTTAGTCTCTATTTATGCTCTCATTTTAGTTAGTACTTGTTATGGGTTAGATTGTGTCTCCCCTGCCCCACAAAATTTATATGTTAAAGTTTTAACCACCATTACCTCAGAATACAGGATGACCTTATATGGAAATAGGGTCTTTACAGAGGTCATCAAGTTAAAGTGATGGGCCCTAATTGAGTGTGACTGGTGTACTTACAAAAGAGGAAATACGGACACAGACAGGCATAGAGTGCAGGCAGTGTGCAGGTGCATAGGGAGAAGAAGGTCATCTACAAGCCAAAGAGAGAGGCTTGGATCAGATCTTTCCGTCACAGCCTTCAGAAGGAACCAACCTTCTACTTAGGCGTCTAGCTTCCACAACTCTGAGACAATAAGTGTCTGTTCTTTAAGCTACCCAGTTTGTAGTACTTTGTTATGGCAGCCCAAGCAATCTAGGAGAGTCTGGACAACCAGCCTTTCGTATACAGAGACTGGAGAGTTCCAGCAACTCAGACAGCATCTCCAAGTCTCTCTCATTCCTTTTCTGTCTGACAGGCTACATCTCTCATTCTTCTGTTTTTCTTGCAGACAGTCTTTCTTTACTTTTTCACTCATGAGACTACACCAGAGTGGACAGGCCCCCACAAACTAACCAATGCTTACCAAAAAGTTTAAATCTTGATTCCAAATTCACAGGAGACAGAATATAATAGGCCTGATTGAGGTCAAGTGTCTATTGCTATTTCAGTCAGCTGTGGAGGCAGGGCCACATAGGGCAGACATGGCTGCTAGGAGCAGCTTTCTAACTGCATGCCTTGTGACTTGTTGGCCTCCATAATCAGACAGCCAATTCGTTGTAATAAATCTCTCTCTCTCATCTCCTATTGGTTCTGTTTCTCTGGAGAGCCCTGATTAACATAATGGGAACATGTTAAGTAATCTCAGTCTAAGTTTCTGCTGTGTAACATATCAAATGCTTACCCATTATAATTTGGCCAAATTGAAACTAGCACATTGTAGGCTTTCAGAACATTTTATTTGGAAAAAAGGTGAAGTACTAGAGTTACAACTTTCCACGATCAGGCACCATTTCAGAACAGAAACCTTTGTTCAAGTCTGGTCATTCTATATTGAAAGTGGACTATATTAGAACTTTCAAACTGATGAACGGACTACCACAAAAAGTTAATGGTTAAATGGCAAAGGAGGGCAGGGCAGGGACTGGGAACCTGCCTTGAGGGCCTCGCTGGAAGCGGTGCCGCCTGCATCCTCCTGAAGTGGGCATAGTGCAGCCACCAGGGGCCATTGTGTGGCACCCGTCCCACAGAGATGAGTCCATTCACCAGTGTGAAGCTGGTCCGAGAGTTGAGTGAAAGGGAGGCTGATGTTGTGGTGGCTTCTGAGGCCTCCTGGCCCTCGGTGTACGAGGACAGTGCCTGGGTCTTCCTGGGAGGGTTTCCTTATGAAATGATGGAAGGAGGTATCCTCTGTGTAGGGGGAGATTGTTAACATGAATCTCGTGAGGGACAGCAAGATAGGGAAGTCTAAAGGATTCAGTTTTATCTGCTGTGAAGACCAGAGGAGTACAGTTGTGGCGGTTGACAATTTTAATGGAATCAAGATGAAGGGAAGTACTACCCAAGTCGGTCACATTTCTAACTATCACCCTCTTGAGACTCAAGGTATTGAAGATGCCACCGGAGAGCTCCGGGAGATGGGCCATGGGGCTCAGACCCCTCCACCCAGTTCATCTGAAGGCTCCAGTGACGAGGCACTTTCACGACAGCGCAAACACGAAAAACAGAAAAGACATAGACCAAAGAGAAGATTGCTGCACGAGTCAAAGACGAGGAGGGACAGGAGGAGCAGCCTTTGTCCATGTCAGCTGGAGACCACATTCAAAAGAAGGACTCCCAAGGCGCCAATAGATGTACCAAGGTGAAGCTGGAGTCTGGTGAAGGGTAGAAGCCCTAACCAAGTTGCCCTGGGGACAGGACAGCTGCTACAGGTGACAGTTTCCTGCAGGGCAGACAGGGACCTAGAGAGGGGCATGAGGAAACAGAACCTGGGTTCTGAGCCCAGCCCGTGAGCAGAGGCAGGAGGAAGAAAGAGGAGAGTAGGGATAGGGACAGAGATTAAAGCTCAGACACATTTTAGCTCATCCAAAGACAGCCACACAAATTCTCCAATCCCAGTGACCACAGGCCACACAGGCTGCAGCCTGCTCAAATCCTCATGTTTTGAAATTAAATGTGATATTTAAAATGCTATGGGATGGAACTTGTTGTTTTATAATTTCTATAAAGAAGAATCTGGGGCAGAATTTCTTTACAATTTGAAATCTGTTTTTCCCACAACTATTCAAAAATTTACAGTAGTTGAGATTACATTACAGGATTTATATGGCTCCTTTTGTAAAATCTGAAATTTTGATGCCTAAGATTTTATGAGTAGTGTCCTGTGGTAGGTCACCCTGTAGTCATTCCCCTCCCATAGTATCCTGCTTAAATATTACCATTTTCTGTGTATCAGGATGTGTAAAAGGTTAGAAGCACTGGACTGCATGACCTCTACAGTCTGTTTTCTCTGAAATTTTGATGCCTAAGATTTTATGAGTAGTGTCCTGTGGTAGGTCACCCTGTAGTCATTCCCCTCCCATAGTATCCTGCTTATCAGGATGTGTATCAGGATGTGTAAAAGGTTAGAAGCACTGGACTGCATGACCTCTACAGTCTGTTTTAGTTCTAAGCTTCTTAGACCATCATGGGAGAAATTCAGCCAGCCTAGTGGGGACTTAATGCTATCATATAGTTTAAGTAAGCACTAAAAAATATTTAGGCTCTTGCTCTTATTTTATGTATCAATAGTAACGAAACGTTTTTTTTCTTTTTCCACTGTAACTTCAGCTTATGATAAAGTCAAGGGCAAAGGATATTCTTAAGGAAAGTAGTATCAGTTGAAGTATATGACTAATCATGGTGGATTAAAAAGAGTATCTCTGGTAACTCATTCTTTCTATTCTCTAGTTTATGTATGTCTATATCTACCAACCAACCTACATAGTGATACACACACACACACACACACAAAACCTAAGAAAGGATGATATTTTATTCTCTCTCACAAGAAGTTGTTTTATGTGCTAGGGATCTTGGGATATGTAGAGTGATATAGCATAATGGGAAATGCAAATTGTTTCTTGGATTCTGTTAGTATTTGATGTTTGATTGATGAGCATTTCATTCCCATGTGCAATTTCACATTCTGCATATAGACAGAACTGCATATATGAATTTACAAAGGTTGCTGCTTAGGATGAAAACCTTAAGCTAACCTTTTGAAAATTGCCTGTCCATAAGAAAAGGAAATAAAATGAAATTCTAATATCTTGAATGATTTTGAATATATTGTGACTTTGGTCCCATCATTCTTTATACAGGAAATCTATTTGGCCTAATTTTTTTTTTTTAAAAAACTTCCCAAAACTCTACTAATTTTGTTCTGGTATACACAAAAGTTACCATTATTGTAAACAGTGACAGTATTGCTACTTAGCACTTACTGATCAATGAAAACTTCTATTGTAGGCATTTACTATGGATTTTAAAAATCTTTCCTTTTTAATGGTAATTTGTTAAAAAATTAACTAAGAATAGAAAAAAGTTTTAGTCCAGTTATAAGAATTTAATCGTTTTCATTTCTCCACATTTACTTTCGGTCTTTGTCCACGTGTATGCATCTATTGCATAGTCGCAGGTCCTTCACTTATCCATTTATTTGTATATTCAATCATTCAAGAAGTATTCTTAGATTTTTTGCTGTTGTTGGCCAGTACAGGAATTGAACCCTGGACCTTAGTGTTATCAGCACCATGCTCTAACCAACTGAGCTATATTAAGATTAAGATGCTACTAAGCGTCAGGTGCTGCAATATAGTTAGACTTACAAAAATGAATATGACATTGCCTGACCAAAGGAGGTCATAAGATAGTGAAAGAGATGCACATGTAACAATTAAATTAGAAGTATATAAAAGGTAACAGAGGAGAGTCAATGGAGCAAATTAGGTGAGGGATTCTGATAGAATTGTGGAATCTAGGGGAGAAGTAAGTGCATAGTTCAATGTGAGCAGGAGGACAGCAATGAGAAATGAGGCTGGTGAGAAGAGGAGAGGTGTAAGAAAGTTTTTGTATGCCGTACAAATTTTTTGAGGTCCTCTTTGAAAGAGACAATGATTATAAAGAAAAGTGACAAGATGAGAAATATATTTTTGAAAGAGCACAAGGTGGTGGGAAGGTGGAGGATGAACTAGGCTGGGGAGGAACTTTAAGCAGAAAGATGAGTAGGAAGGCAATTTCAGTCATTAAAGGAAGAGATCATGAGGGCCTGAACTAAGGCAGCTTGGTGCAGTAGATAGAGAAGAACTCAAGATTCCAACAGGTATTTACAAGATGATTTTAGGGGGAAGGAGAAGACTCCCAAATTTCTGACTATGGAATGTAAGAAGGGGAAAGTATATGTGATTTTTTTTTTTTCCAGTGGGAAGGGAAGGGGGAGAGGAGTGAGAGGGAGGAAGTGGGACAATGGAGGGTGGTGGCAGAGAGGTTGCCTTTTGTTGAAGTCAAGCAAAATAACAGGTTGACAGTGGCACAGAATTGAACAATAAGGAGATTACTGGTAACCAGAGTGTGAGCAGTTCATAAGAAAGGTGAGAAAGAACACCAGATAGCACTGCGAGGTGAGCAAGCAGAAACAGCAACTTCAAGTGTGGTCTTTTGCTTATTTTATATAATAACATACACCTTTCCAAAATTTTAATAGCTATGCAATATGCCACATAGTGAATATACCTTTATTTAGCAACGTCTAGAATTATTTTTCCCTTAAAATAGTAGTGCATTGAGCATATTTGTGCAATATGTTTATTTTGTTTATTTGTTTGTTTCTTTGTTTTAAAAAACAGTTTTAAGTCTTTAATTGTGGAATAATACACTATGGGTAGGAACTTATAAAATACATGTTGAACTTCATTTTTTTTAAACAGATATGCACATTTATTTGTTTAAGTAACAAATACATAAACTGAATAACAGATGAATAACAAAATATTCTGTAAAAAGTAGAGCTTCAAATTTTCACAAAAACTGGAGATGTAATACTTATTAAAATTTACATATTTCATTTTATAATCTCTAAAGTTATTTGAAATAGCTCTCTTAAGTCTTCCAAAAGCATGCAAATATCAAATTAATTTCAACAGAGGAAGAAGAATAAATTTTTCAAAAGCAAATTAATTTCTAAGCAAATCAACAAGTCCCTTTAAAAAGAAATCAAGAACAGAAGTTAGATATCTAAGGTTACCAATGTATATTGCATGAAAAATCAATAAAACAGAGTATAAACACAAAGGCACTTCAAAAAGTTCGTGGAAAAATAGAATTAAAAGATAATGGAAATTTTTCCATGAATATTTATTTGTTTAATTTTTTCCCCCCAAAGACTCAAGGTCATAGAAAATTTGTTCTCTGACCATAATAATAGAAGGAAATTTAGAAAACTTACAAATATATGGAAGATAGCACTCTCCTAAATAAACAATGGGTAAAAAGAAAAATCACAGGGAAGTTATAGAGTACTTTGAGATAAAGATCAAACTGCAAAATATCAAAATTTATAGGATGCAGGGCTAATGCAGTGCTTAGAGGAAAATTTATACTTGCAAACACCTGTGTTAAAAATAAGAAAAATCTCAATTCAGTAATGTAAACTTCCACCTTAAGAAAATAGAAAAAGTAGAGCAGCTAAACCAAAAGCAAATATAAGTAGGAAATAAAAAAGATTACAACAGAAATATCTGAAATGGGGAATTAAAAAACAATAGAGAAAATTTTTAAAAAGCAGAAGTTGATTCTTTAAAAAAATCAACAAAATTTTCAAACCTTTATTTAGACTGACCAACAAAAAAGAGAGGAGTGAAATTACTGAAATCAGAAATAAAAATAGGGGCATTCTTATGTTGTCACTATGGCTTTTTGTGGCGGTAAGATTCAGTTTCTTTTTCTCATTTGCATTTTTCTTCTTCCAGTGGGTTTCGTTCTTTCTTGTGTATTTGTGGTAGTGATCATTGTTTTTTGGATTCCAGATGCAGACTTCCTTGAGGATTTCTTGTAGGGCTGGTCTTGTGGTGGTAAATTCCCACAGTTTCTGTTTGTCTGGAAAATACACTATTTTTCCCTCATTTCTGAAGGATAGCCTTGCTGAATATAGTATTCTTGGCTGGCAGATTTTTCCTTTAGTATTTTGAATATATCATCCCGTTTTTTTCTGTCTTGTAGAATTTCTGTTGAGAAGTCTGTTGTTAGTCTGATATGGGCTCCCTTTATAGGGGACTGATGCTTTCCTCTTGCTTCTTTTAAGATTCTCTTTGTCTTTGAGCTTTGCCAGTTTGACTGTAATGTGTCCTTGAAAGGATCTTTTTGGGTTGACTCTGTTTGGGGATCTTTGATCCTCCTGGATCTGAAGGCCCATATCTCTCCCTATACCTGGAAACTTTTCTGTTATTATTTTGTTGAATAGGTTTTCCATGCCTCTTCCTTTCTCCTCCCCTTCTGGAATGTCCACAATTCAAATGTTTGCATGCTTAAGGTTGTCTACTAGCTTTCTTAGATTTTCTTTATTCTTTAAAATTATTTTTTTCCTTTTTTTTTTTTCAGTCTACTGGGGTCATTTTGAAAAGACTGTCTTCAAGATCAGAAATTCTTTTGTCTGCTTCTTCTAGCCTGCTGCTGAAACTTTCAGTCTTGTTTTTTTATTTTATTGAGTGAATCCTTCAGTTACATGAATTTTATTACATTCTTTTTTAGGGTATTAATCTCTTTGTAAATTTCCTCCTTCATATCCTGAATTTTTTTTTCTCATATTATTATGTTGCCTAAATAAGTC